GCCGTAACAGCGGTGGGATCAAATGCGAAGGAGGGCCGCGGGCGGCCGTGAGCGCGGCGCGTTCAGGCCGCGCTCAGTTTTGCGGTCTCGTGTTGCGATTTCTGCTATCCACCTGATACTGTCTCATCCACCAGGCATGTATACAAACGCACGCATGCACACACGCATGCACGCACGCATGTGCGCATGCACGCACGCGAACCACCGACGCAAATGCGCATGCATGCACGCACGCACGCGCGCGCACACACACACACACACATATGCGTCCTCCCCTCAGCCCTCCATTGATTTTATCCCCAACCCCCAGAGCGAGGACCTAGACCCCGCCCACATTCGTCACGTCGCTCAAGATGGACCCCGTGCTCTCCAGGTATGGTGGGCTGCTCTGCCACAGCCGCGTCGCCTCCTTGGTCTCCAGGTCAAACAGGTCAAGGAAGGGGCGGTTGCCGGTGGGCGACGCGCCGCTGCCGGCCATCAGCAGCTGCCGCTTGCCGTCCACCTGGGTCAGTGTGTGTGTTGGGGGGATGAGGGTGCGTTCCGGCGGGGAAGGGGCGTGCATCGTCTGGCAGGTCCGCAGCGCGCAGGGGGCGGGAAGCGGCGTGCAGCAGTCCAGTAGAATTGCAGGCTCCGGGAGGGAGTGGTCAAGGGACCACGAAACACCAAACCACTTGTTGTGGATTACAATGCAAAACCAGGCTGTCCTGGAGGCGGTCAAACAGGCCGCTCCCGAAGGCGCCTTGGAAGTATCATAGCAAATAGCATCTCTTGGCGTCGAGGCGCCGAGGCCCGGGCGGCCCAGCCGAGCGGAGAGAGGCAGGCGAGACCTTCGCTTCAAGGGACAAGGGGACACACCTTGGCCAGGATGTACGTGCCGTTCTCTGTGCGCCTGCTGAGCGGGCTGCCGGGGTCGTTGTACACGTCCTCGTAGGACCGGTCAAACAGCAGCGCGGGGGCCTGGTCGCGGCGCGCGGGGGAGATCGTCCAGATGCGGCTGCGGCGGGTGGCCCACTTGGACTCATAGAGCAGCGCCAGGTCTGCAGGGCCGGGGGTGTAGGGGCAAGGGCGTGGTGCGGTTGGGGACTGGGCAAAGGAAGGAAAGGGTGCGTCGAAGCGGCGATCGATGTGGGTTTGCAGGGGGTGCC